GAATCTCCTCTCTTGTAGTTTGAAGCCATTGTTCCATTGCGTCCTAGTCTCCAGGAAGCAGAAAACAAGCTTGCTCCCTCCTCCCCTCTGTGGCTTCCTCTCACATATTTATACATGGCTATCATATCTCCTCTCAGCCTTCTCTTCTTCAGGCTAAACATGCCCAGCTCCTTAAGCCGCTCCTCATAGGGCTTGTTCTCCAGACCCTTGATCATTTTAGTCGCCTTCCTATGGACACATTCCAGCTTGTCAATATCTCTCTTGAATTGTGGTGCCCAGAATTGGACACAATATTCCAGGTGTGGTCTAACCAAAGCGGAATAGAGCATGGGGAGCATGACTTCCCTAGATCTAGACACTATGCTCCTCTTGATGCAGGCCAAAATCCCATTGGCTTTTTTTGCCGCCACATCACATTCCTGGCTCATGTTTAACTTGTTGTCCACGAGGACTCCAAGGTCTTTTCCACATGTCCCGCTCTCGAGCCAGGCCTCATCGTCCCCCATTCTGTCTCTTTGCATTTCGTTTTACCTGGCAAAGTGGAGTCTCTTGCATTTGTCCCTGTTGAACTTCATTTTGTTAGTTTTGGCCCATCATCTCTCTAATCTGTCAAGATCGTTTTGAATTCTGCTCCTGTCCTCTGGAGCCTTGGCTCTCCCTCCCAATTTGGTCCCGTCTGCAAACGTGATAATCATGCCTTCTCGCCCTTCATCCAAGTCATGAATGAAGATCCTGAGCAGGACCGGGCCCAGGACGGAACCCTGCGGCACTCCACTCGTCACTTCTTTCCAGGATGAAGAGGAAGCATTGGTGAGCACTCTCTGGGTTCATCCATTTAACCAATTAACCATATTAAGTTTTGGGGGTTAAAAGGCATATTCCCGGGGCGGAGATGTTAGTGGAGCAAAAGCGAGATAGCCATTCGTTTTAGAATTTGCCCAGGAGAAGAATGGCACTGATTTTGGAGCAATCCATTGACTCATGGATACGGGGACCCGATGGGTTTCCGTATCCACGGTTCAAAGGAGTGCAGTTTCGGCCTCCCCAGGATGCCAGACGGATCCAGATAGTCAGTTTCGTCCAGGAAACTCTGGAGCTGCGAGGCAACCACACATTCCAAGACTTTGCCCAAAAAGGGGAGATTGGAAACTGGCCGAAAGTTGTCCAAATCAGTAGGATCCAGTGATGGCTTTTTCAACAGCGGTTTTATCACAACCTCTTTTAGGTTTGCTGGAATTTTGTACAATCCGCCACCAGAGGTAATTTTCAACGGTAAGCAAACAGTATTTTGGCACCCCTGCCCAACTAATCATTGATATATATTTTCTGTTCATCATGGGAGTTCTGTGTGCCATATTTGGTTCAATTCCATCATTGGTGGAGTTCAGAATGCTCTTTGATTGTAGGTGAACTATACATCCCAGTAACTACAACTCTATTTTCCCCCAAGAGCGCCTCAAGAGCACCCCTGGCAAAATAAACTCTCCCGCAAATGCTTACTTTGTGTAAGGGGTTGACCACCCTTGCCAACCAATCATTGATATATATTTTCTGTTCATCATGGGAGTTCTGTGTGCCCTATTTGGTTCAATTCCATCATTGGTGGAGTTCAGAATGCTCTTTGATTGTAGGTGAGCTATACATCCCAGTAACTACAACTCTATTTTCCCCCAAGAGCGCCTCAAGAGCGCCCCTGGCAAAATAAACTCTACCGCGAATGCTTACTTTGCGTAAGGGGTTGACCGCCCCTGCCAACCAATCACTGATACATATTCTCTGTTCATCATGGGAGTTCTGTGTGCCCTATTTGGTTTAGTTCCATCATTGGTGGAGTTCAGAATGCTCTTTGATTTTAGGTGAGCTATACACCCCAGTAACTACAACTCGCATATGTCAAGGTCTATTTCCCCCCAAGAGCGCCTCAAGAGTGCCCCTGGGCAAAATCAACTCTACCGCAGAGGCTTACTTTGCATAATGGTTGAGCCGCACCTGTCCGCCACATAAGAAGTTACATGAGTTGTTTGTGAAATCCCCAAAACACCTGTCAGGTTGCGTGGATTTATATATAGGCTTCTCCTCCGTTCCCCAGAAGCGAGATTTGTCTCCATGGGAAATAAGCTCCTTCATTCCTCTCTCAAACAGAACCAAAGTCCAGCACGAAGCAAGGAAATCTTACTCAAAGAAAAGGATATTATGAGCTCTCTTTTTGACATGAATCCAAAGCTTAGCGTCTAAGCCTCCGAGGCACCTGAGAAATTCCAAATTTCACCCCTAAATTGCCAAATACCTGGGCACCATCAGGTTGGACAATGGCAGCACAGACAGAATAAGAGTGCCATTGGTCAGAAGCATCAAGGGATCTGAGGGGCTTCTTTTCTTGTCATTTCTCAATTGTCCTAAACAAGGGGTCCACAAACTTTCTAAACAGAGGGCCAGGTCACAGTCCCTCAAACTGTTGGAGGGTCACCTTTGAATGGGATGCGTGCAATGCATTTCAAACTTCAGCTGGGCCTGTGGATTGCTGGGGTTTGAAAAACAAAGCAGTCACAAAATACAGCGGTTTAGCAGCACAGAAGCTTCTGAGCAGAGCAGCAGAGCAAACAGGCTTTAGTGATTTAAGGAGCACACAAACAACACAAAGAGGCTTTCTTGGAAAGAGCTGCATTTCTGTTTACAAAAGTTAAGGGTCTAACTATCCATCTGTGTCTGGAGACACTGCGTGCAAAAAGGGGCCAGCAAGGGCTTGCTTTTTGAAGCCACGGAAGCATTTCCATTCTAGCCTGCCATATTTATCCAGATGGGTTGGAAAAAACAGTAAAAAGAAAACAGTCACAAAATACAGCAGTTTAGCAGCGCAGAAGCTTCTGAGCACAGCAGCAGAGCAAACAGGCTTTAGTGATTTAAGGAGCACACAAACAACACAAAGAGGCTTTCTTGGAAAGAGCTGCATTTCTGTTTACAAAAGTTAAGGGTCTAACTATCCATCTGTGTCTGGAGACACTGCGTGCAAAAAGGGGCCAGCGGGGGCTTGCTTGTTGAAGCCACGGAAGCATTTCCATTCTAGCCTGCCATTTTTAGCCAGATGGGTTGGAAAAAAACAGTAAAAACAAGGCAGTCACAAAATGCAGCAGTTTAGCAGCGCAGAAGCTTCTGAGCACAGCAGCAGAGCAAACTGACTTTAGCGATTTAAGGAGCACACAAACAACACAAAGCAGTGCGGTGCTGGGGTTGGAAAAAACAGTAAAAAGAAAACAGTCACAAAATACAGCAGTTTAGCAGCGCAGAAGCTTCTGAGCACAGCAGCATCGCAAATGGGCTTTAGCGATTTAAGGAGCACACAAACAACACAAAGAGGCTTTCTTGGAAAGAGCTGCATTTCTGTTTACAAAAATGAAGGGTCTAACTATCCATCTGTGTCTAGAGACACTGCATGCAAAAACGGGCCAGCGAGAGCTTGCTTTGTGAAGCCATGGAAGCATTTCCATTCTAGCCTGCTTTTTTAGCCAGATGGGAATCAGACGAAAGGCCCAGCGTGCAAAGGTCGGGAGTCCGCCATCAGTGGAGAGGGGCTGCAGATGGGAATCAACTGAAAGGCCCAGGGCGTATAGGTCAGGGATCCACCATCAGGGGAGGCGGTCTGCGGAGGAGGGGTCACCTTTGAATGGGATGCGTGCAATGCATTTCAAACTTCAGCTGGGCCTGTGGGTTGCTGGGGTTGGAAAAACCAGTAAAAACAAAGCAGTCACAAAATACAGCAGTTTAGCAGCGCAGAAGCTTCTGAGCACAGCAGCGGAGCAAACAGGCTTTAGCGATTTAAGGAGCACACAAACAACACGAGACTTTCTTGGAAAGAGCTGCATTTCTGTTTACAAAAGTTAAGGGTCTAACTCAGGGGTCCACAAACTTTCTAAACAGAGGGCCAGGTCACAGTCCCTCAAACTGTTGGAGGGCCGGATTATAATTTGAAAAAAAAAAAGAAAAAAGAATGAATTCCTATACACACAGATCTTATTTGTAGTGCAAAACACACTTTAGAACAGTACAATAATTGGGTTGTTGTAGGTTTTTTTGGGCTATATGGCCATAGTCTAGAGGCATTCTCTCCTGACGTTTCGCCTGCATCTATGGCAAGCATCCTCAGAGGTAGTGAGGTCTGTTGGAAGTAGGAAAAAGGGTTTATAGTACATCTGTGGAATGACCAGGGTGGGACAAAGGACTCTTGTCCGCTGGAGCTATTATTATTTATTATTATTTCTCGCACTTCTACCCCACCCTTCTCAACCCCCGTGGAGGGACTCAGGGCGGCTTACAAAAGGCACAATTCGATGCCAACACAACAACAAGATAAAAATAAAACATATATAAACAGTAATTAAAACAATTAAAACAATCCATTATGTATTGTCGAAGGCTTTCATGGCCGGAATTCATGGGTTGTTGTAGGTTTTTCCGGGCTATATGGCCATGTTCTGGAGGCAATTATCCATTATGCGTCAAAAATTATCCATTATGCATCATACACCAAAATCCATAAAACCAATCTAATGCTCGTTTGCCAGCTAGGTGTGAATGCTTCAACTGATCATCTTAATTAGCATTTGATGGCTTGGCAGTGCCTGGGGGAATCTTTTGTTGAGAGGTGATTAGATGTGCCT